TGAGAATGCTAAACTCCAGTGGTTCCTTGCTTAATTCACCTGCATTTCCATGGGCATTTCCTAACATGGGGATTTGGACATTAGCATTATTTTTCTGAGAGAGAGAAACCTGAGATAACAAAAATAAACTGGAAGTTTTGCCAGTCTCTTCAATCTTACTAGAGTACAATGCTATGACCTCTCAATGCCTCATAGCATGAACTGCCATCGTAAGAATGTGAGTACATTCATTCATTCATTGGGTCATCAAACATGTACTGAGTTACTGCTCTGTGCTGGAGAACTGGCTGTGGACACGACGTGGGGGCTGGTTGCTGGGTGTTTATACTGCAGGTAAACAGGACACTAAACGTAAGGAAGGTGGGAAGAGGGGAGAACAGGTGGTTGGGGAAAGGCCTCTGCGAGTTCAGTGAAGGGTGAATGGTTCAGTATGATTAGAGCACAGAGCGTGAAGACAACGCTTAGATAAGGAGCCCCTCTGAGCGAGATAGCAGCTCCACTTTCACACCTGCCTCCCTGTTGTTCCAGGTGCTGGTGCCCTCCCCAAACTGCCCGGCACGTCCTTTCAGAATACATGCTAATGCTGTGTGTGTGCCCGCACCCCAGAGCACGTCTGCAGTGGGGAGGAGACTCCTGTGTGACCTGAAGCAGTTCCCACTTCTGCCCACACCCCAAGTCCCATGAGCAATTGTGGCGGCAAGCCGGTTAATCATTTCTGCGTCCCAACTGTAAAGTTACATTTCTGCTGAGGTAGTGGGTCCCCTGTAAAATGGTCAATCATAACGAGACAGAGTTGAGTAATTAAATTAGGTTCAATTATAAAATAGTTTTGAACAAACAGTGGGCATCTGATGGGGAAGCTTTTCAAAGTGTCCCTGCCTTATGGCCACCTCATTCCTAATGAGTATAAACACGCCTCCAAGTGGGACCTGGGCGTGTATTTAGAGAAAGTCCCTCAGGTGTCCAGGTGCACATTTGTGGTTAAAATGAACTCATCAAGACTATTCACTTGCAGAGAAAAGGACATTTTTGGAAAATTCTAGATGAATTTTTGAACATATTTATACAGGGGTGGGCAAAAGCAGGCTTACAGTTGTCATACAAATAAAATACAATAATAAATAAATAATAATAATATAAAAACCAACTCTGCTTCATAGATGCACAACTGTAAGCTGACTTTTGCCCTCCCCTGTACTGGCTTTATTATGGTGATAGAGGACAGATGTCAGAGTAGTTTCAGTAAGAGTCATCCCCATAACGTGTCCTAGAAATTTATTTTTTGGTATTTTTCCATTGGATCCTTAAAGTTGGGCCTTCATTATAATAAGGAAGGCCCGAGTAAATTCCCTCTCCACCTTTATTTCCTCTTGCACAGACCAGCACGTGAATTATTTTCTGGCCAACTGGATCTACCTGGAAGATGTATGGTGCCAGCAAATTTGAGTTGGCGAGATCAGAGAAGGCTTTTTATTATTAATGACAAGCCTGGACAAGGCAGCCACTGCTCTGGTCTCATGAAGCCGTGGTAAAGCCCAGCTGGGGAGGCACTGCAAAGAACACACTGTGGTTTAGAGAGGACTTGAGCATCTTCCTCCATGGTCTGTTTGGTTGGGGCAAATCACACGCAATGTGTCAAGGAAACATTTTTTTTAAAGAAGCCACTTGCCAATAAAGACAAAGATATATATAGTAGGTATGGTGAGTGCCAGTGAGGGCACAGAGAAGTGGGTGGATTCAGGAGACGGAGGCCCCTGAACTGACAGCATGCTGGTGGACCAACAGCCTGTCAGGGAGCAGGTTGGGGAGGGGCCAGAGGGGACGGCTGGGAGCCTGATCTGCACTCCTGGGTGGACGTCAGCTGACCACCTGGTCCACTAAATGCTGCAGTTACAATTACGGCATAAAGTCCAGTGACATTTACTTTGATTTAGAATCATAGAATGCTATTCTTATCTTCACGATCTCTGCCGTACAGTTATTAAAACAAATAGAGAAGTAAAAGAAACTGTGTACTAGAATTAGAACTTTTAGAAGAACTTTGGTCAGGAGATTTTTGTTTGGTTTTGTTTTGTGATTTATTTTTAACATTTTTAATGAAAAATTTCAAACATACAAAATAGAGACAATAGTGATGAAACCCAGGTATATACTTCACTCAGATTCCGCAGTTATCAATTCACGTCCAACCTTATTTTACTTACATAAAGGGTCCTCTCTCACAAAAGAATTGAGAATAATTGACATATAACACTGTTTGAGTTATACAACATGATTACTGGACATGCATGTATATTGCAAAGTGATGACTGCAGTGAGGTTAGTCAACACATCCATTGCCTCACATAAATACCTTCTGTGTATGTGTGGTGAGAACATTTAAGATTTACTCTGTTGGGGAGGAAAAGTTTCTCCTCTATCCTTGTTGACTGTCCTGTCTGGTTTAAGGATCACATCGATGTGGGACAGATAAGAGGAGAAAAACCCAGGCTTAATTTTGTGCATGACTTTGCTCCAGAAGAATATGAGGGTCCAGAGACAATCAGCCAGTTGAGGCTTATCTGCCATCCAGAGCCAAAGAGAAAGGGGTAGGAGTCTGGGACTTCCAAGGGGAGGGAGGCGGTTTACATGAAGATGAAAAAACAAATGTTTGGTAAACAGATGTTTGCTATGCCGAGAGGAAACAATGAGACACAGAGAGGACTTTGAACAGGCAGGCCTTGCTGAGTTCACCACCCCTTTCCTCACTCTCCCAGCCCCTTCCACCTCCCACCCCCCTCCTGGACCACACCTGGATCTCCTGGTAACCTCTGGTGATAGCTCATCTTCCTGAAACAGGCCCTCTATCTAAATTATTTTAGGCATTTAAGGGGAGGTGAGAAGCTCTTCCTCAGTCTTTTGTTTCTTAAAGATAATCAGCCTAAAATAATCCTCATGCCAATGAGACATTTTGGGGTGGCAAAATCCTGCTTCCCTCCAACTCTCTTAGCATTATCAGGTCTATAAGAAGCGTGGCTACCTGTTGTCTGTCACCTTGCTGCAATCAGATTTCCAGAGCTCATTCATCTCAGACGGAATCTGGGCGCACATGTATTTACGACTGTAATACCTCTGGGCAAATTGAAGACCCCTATATCATTCTGTAATGACCTTCCTTGCCTCTCGTTAGGGTTTTTGACTTAGATCCCATGTTATCTGATATAAGTATAGCCACCCGTGCTCCCTCCGGTTTCTGTTAGAATCTCTTCCCATCCTTTCACCGGAGCCTGCGTGTGCCCTGAAGCTGACCTGAGTTTCTGGTAGGCAGCGAAGATTAGGATCCTGTTCTCTTTTTTAAATCCATTCGTACACTCTCTGCCTTTTGATTAGAGAATTTAATCCATTTTTGTGTAGGACAATTATTAATAGGTAAGGGTTTAATAACACCGTCATATTGTTTTCTGGCTGTTTTGTGTTTCTCTTGTTCTTTTCTTCGTTTGTTGTCTTCCTTTGGGAACTGGTGGTTTTCTGTGGTGGTATGTTTGTTTCTCTGCTTTTCCCCATTTCTGTATCTACTCCCAGTTTGCACTTTGTGGTTACCATCAAGCTTCCATGAAATGCCTTGTAGATGTAACAGCCTGTTGTTGGCAGCTAGCAACTTAACTTCAATCATACGCGTACACAAAAACTCTACCCATTTATGTTTTTGATGTTAAAATTTACCTCTTTAAATGTGCGTACCATTAGCAAATTATTGTAGCTGTAGTTATTTTAAATATTTTTCCTTTAGCCTTTATTCTAGACGTAAGTGATTTATATACCATCATATTGCAGTCGTAGAGTGTTCGAATATGGACCATATACATATCTTGACCAGTCTGTGTCTAGCAGTGCTCATGTCTTTAAACTGTATGAACTAAGCCTTAAGTCCATTATGTTCAGCTTTTGAATCCTTTCTGAGTGGTTGTTTTACTGCTTTTGAAACCCTTAAAGCTTTGGTTTGCATGATGGGAATCTTAAAGACACACACACACACCTTTGAGTATGATCCCCTAACCACAAAAGGGTCTTTCTCATTTGGCCTCTAGCTCACTCCTTCACAGTAGCAGACCAGCTGCTATGAGTCCCAAAGAGCACAGTGGCATTCTGAACTTGTAAGCGGGGGTGGGAAAGGAGGAGAGGTCACGGGGTCAGGGTGTGAGCTGCCACTGAGAGCTTTCCAGGCTGAGACACGGACACACTGGTCCCTGCAACAACTGGAGTGTGTGGGCAGGGAAGGGAAGGCTTGCGTACTCTGCCTTTCATTGGTTTCCCCCTTCGTGTCTTTCTGACATGTCAGTGACTTTCTCTGAACAGAAATAATTAAGTATTACTGTTGTTTTAAATTTTGTTTGGGAGTTAGACTGAAAAATACGTGATAGCTCATGGGATGTTAAAGCAAAAATTAACACCTCAGGAATTTTCGTGTCCTTTTACAAATGAAGAAACTGAAGCTCAGAGAGGTTGTTAGGTTTTAGCTGGCTCTCACGTCCAGTGAGACACAGAAGCCAGAGACAAGTGCAGGTCCTCATCCCCCCTTTCTTCACCTGAGCGCTTTGACGCACATTTTACCAGGAAGAACTGGGGTCCTTTCTAATGAGGATTTAGTGATGCACGCAAAAGTCAACATTCAGAAGCCTGCTCTTTCTGTTTATGGGTGTTAAATATAGCATCATGGCCACTGAAAATAATTTTCAGATTCCAAACTTGAAAATGTCCTTCAGCTTCATTCCCTCTCTTGGGTTATGAGGACATATTTCCATTTTATTGCAAATTGAACATAAGCAGTTTTACTATGCAGCCAGCAGTTTAGCAAGACCACTTTAAGTCGCAGACCTCTCCAGATGTATCTTGAGTGAACTTGAGGTTGTGTATAACCATTTTCAGTGGTGTGTTCCAACTGTCTTTGAATGGGCTATGGACCGTACTCTGGTAGTTTCAATTTTATAAATTTATATAGTCTGTATTATTTTCATTTTTAGGACCGGATCTTTATGGAAAATGCAGGTGCAGTGAAGCAGCTCTGCAAACTAACCAACGACCTTGAAGAAAGAACAGAGGCGTTAGAAATATGGAACTGAAAGCTGGCCAGGCTAAAGTGGCTCAGTAGCTGGAAGCCCTCAGCCAGTGAAGCCAGCTCAGGCAGGTACACCCAGGACTGCCATAGGCGCTTGGAGAAAGGCATGGAGTCTTTCTGTAACTAGATCAACCAGTAACCATTAGCTTCTGATAGTTAAATCTCTATTCCTTTAGAATGTTTTGGAACACAATTACCTTATATGGTCATTTTCTTAGTTTTTCTGTTGCAGCTTTAAAAATGAGACATAACATCAGGCATCTATTTAAGAGCAGTTGTTACAAGAAGTGTTACATTTTAGTAAAAGGGTAGTTTCTCCTTTAACTGGGAGAGGCAGCCATTTCTAAATTTAGAAAACCAGTTTGGTCCTTGAGGGGGAAAAAACTTTTTTTTTATTACTTAAGGAGGTAAATGCACATTTCCTGGGGTATAATTTTAAGAAAAAGAAATGTAACATTTAATGCATTCACTTATGCTTACTAAGGTCCTTTCCCACAAAAGGAACTCTCAATTGCTTTGACTTTTCCTTTTTTAAATTACCACTGTATTACAAGAAAAGTCATACTGCTGTGTAGTGACTGCCTGGGCCTTTGTCATCCAACTCTCAGAGAGGCGTTTGAATAGTAATTAATTCTCTCTCCTTCTTTTTAAAGCAAATTTAGCAGAGCTGTTAGAGCTCCTCCAAGAAGGGCCATTCCCAAAAGATCCAACAAGGTAAATACACTTACATTGATAAAGAATAGAGAAAATATTTTCCATACCAAGAAAGTCTTTAGAGAAATTGATCAAGATTTTTTTGTTCATTTATTTGTTGATGAATTTCCTAGTTTGCAACCTTCTACACTCAGGTATTTAAATACTAACCTTTTAATAGACATTATTTGGTTTTAATATCTATTTATATTATTATACATAATCTCTATATCTATTTAACATCTCCAAGGAAGGCTTGGAGAAATGAGTATAGGACATGCTCACTCCAGAATTATTATTCTGCTGGTTTTGATTTTTAGGGCCCCATCAGGTGGAACTCCGTGGCCTCCACACACGTATGGCCCTGGGCTGCCAGCTCTGTGTGGATGCCTTCACTCCTCAGAGGGCCTTATCTTTGACTTCAGAAGATCCTGAAGGGATTCCAGTTAATCCTCAAATCCCTGTTTTCCCTTTGATGTTTAGTAGTATATATGCAAATGGAGAGTAGGTATTCACTTGCTTGCAAAGATTAAAATGTGATGGCTTTATTAATGAATAGAGGACTTTCATCTAGTAGGATACCATTTACAGTAAAAAGTGAAGGTTAATCATGTATTAACTTGAAGGACACCCTCTCCGTTGCAGCGCAGAGCCAGAGAGGGAGAAGCTGCAACCCTCCCTTTGTAGCTGCAGTTCAGCTGGAAATGGCCTGCTCCCTCTGACGAGACAGTGGTCCACGGTCCTTCCTGGAGGAAGACAGTCGTGACCCCATCCTGATGTTAGGGCCATTGCCTTGGTTTTCTCTCTACTCTTCACGTTATACTACATTGAAGTATCGTAAAAAGATTCAGAAAGAGTTTAATATTCTACTAAAAACTACTACAATGCTATGTTGCTGCTAAGCTTCTTGTATATGTAAGATTGTTCTTGGGCACGTTACTTAATTGCATTGGACAATAGAGATAATAGCAGTGTGATACCTTATGGAGATTGTTGTTAGGATTAAATGAGCTGAAGCCCTTAGCACAGTGCTCAGCACTTAGCCGGTTGCTCAATAAGCACAGAACCTTAAAGATGCTGTGTCAGAAAGGTGCCCTCTGTACTAACTGGTTTGCAATGGGATGGAAGGGGTGGTATCTACATCCATAGCGACTCTAATAGGTGCACTTTGGTGACGTGCAACCTCTGTAGCTTGCATGTTGCATCCACAGAATCTCTTTATTTTACAGTTACCTCAGAATATTAACTAGGATGCATGGTCCCTAAAAGCAGGCTCCATGTCTGCCTTCCTCACACTTTGTCCCAAGCACATAGTAGGTATTCAAGAAATACTTGTCGAATGAATGTATGAATGGAGAGCTCAGTCTGAAAATATCCCTTGAAGTCTCATTGTTTAAAATAAAAACATTAAGTGGCTCAGTGTCTTGGATGTGTGGGTGGGTGGGGGTGGGGATGCAGACACAGAGTCAGGAAGTGACATGGGTGTTAAAGAGCACCCATTCAATGGGGAGGCCTTTTGCAGTCGATGTCCCAGGCTTGTGGGAGGCAGATAAAAGTGAAATGTGGCCTCTTCAACTGAATAACTGCAAGTAACCAGGGAAAGGCAAAGAGCACTGTACCTGAATGGGATACATATTACAGATGCTCAGAGTGCAGCAGGAGTATTATGGGCCTGGGCCTTCAAGAAGGAGCAGGCACTGGCGGGGTCACAGGAGCCGTAGGAGAGGTTTTGCATGACGTGGTGTGAGCAGAAGCCTGGAGCTGGCGCTGGCTTCAGTGAGGGGCTGGGTGGTGGTTGGTTAGGGAGGAGAGTAGAACGTAAGGCTGAAAATACCAGTTAGGCTCAGCTTCCGGATCACCAGGTCAAGGAGTTCATTTGGTAAGCCGCGAGGACCTTTTGAATGATAGCAATATCTAAGTTGTAGGGTACTTCCTTCTTTTACAGACAGAAGAATGGAGGCAGCGTAGCATCGTGGTTAAAAGCACAGATTCTGGAGCCAAATGTTGCTCCGTTCATACCCTGCCTTTGTGACTTACTAGCTATGTGACCTTGGGTGAGGAGGCTGCCTTCCTGGGCCTCATTCTCCTCTTCTCAAAAATGGTAATAACACTACCTGCCTCACAGGACTGTTGAGGATTATTGTGAAGATGAACAAAAACAGTATGTGTGAAACATTCAGAGGAATTTATGGCACATGATAAGAGCTGTATATGTGTTCACCATTATTAGTATTTGAGAAATTCAAACAAAGACCAATTTAAAGCTATTTCTTAACTACCACCATCCTTCAATTTGCTTCTGTTCAAAAGCATAATTCTACCCTGTTCCCCAGGAGGAAGAAAACATAACACTCCTCACAGCATTAGTAGGAAAACTCGGATTTAAGGAGCACCTGATTTACAGGGACAGAAAGCCTGCTATCTTTTCAGCCAGATTTCCCGGATATGGCACAGCTGTCTGTCCTGCCGTCCTTGGTCCGTTCCCCACTGCAAGTCTTCATGCCAACATGCAGCAGTCCTACAGCTCTGTCTCGGTCACTTCCTAGAGACTGCGATTTACTTGTTTTCATATCCCCATGGTGTTCTACATATTAGTGCTTTACGAATATTTGCTGAGCAGATAAATAAGGCACAGGTCCAGCACTGTCCCTTAAAAACAGGTGACAGAATTAGATGTGACAGATTTGATTTGGCACTATTTCACGCCACCAAAAACTTCTCCACGGTCTGCATGATGCCTGACATTCTCCCACTGGGATTCATTCTATCATGTCTTAAAAACCTTTCGATTTTGAAAAGTATTTTATTAAAAGAGGTGGAAATTTGGGTTCTGACAGTACTTTGTGTGTTAGTTCCTCTTCTCTCATAAAGCTTCAAGAAAAAGGCTAAGCGGAAGGCACAGACCGTCATCCCCCAGGACGTAAGGGAGAAGGAGAGATCCCTGTAGCCTGGAGTGTCAAGGAAAAGGAGGGAGTTGAGGTGGGTTTGAGAGAGCTTTGTTTTCAGGGGGACAGGGAGGAGGAGGGAGACGTAGGCTGAAGGGAGCACACCAGCCACCCCGAGGGAGCAGCAGGCCCCCCGCTGGGAGTGATGCCTCAGGTGCCCTCCTCTCAGCGTTGCCGCTTTATCACTGATCAAGACTGAATCCTTTCACAGGTTTATTCTGCAGGAAGAAAACAGTGGTGTCCTACCTGGGTGTCCCAGACTGTGGTTATCACTCTCATTGCTGTGATGGCATTTTGGTAAGAAAAACTTCAATGTTATGCTCCGTGAAGCTCCTTTTCTTCCCATCTTCCTTTTCTCACTTGTGAACCGAAGCCTGACCTTTTATTTAGTTTGAAGACAAGGCTCCCTTTAAACTGCACAGTGACCTTTGATGCAGCTTGGAGGTGAGGGAGCCTTTTACAAAATCCTACTTGGAAGAAAAGCAGCACAGGTTTCCACACTTAAATGTGCAATGAAGGATTTTTTTTTTTCAGTTAACTGATATTTTTTAACAGCTTACTGTGCCTTCTACGTGTGTGTGTTTAGTCTTGCCGATAACTTTCTCAAATCTATTAGTCTATGTGGCAGAAAAGAGCGAGTGAGCAATCAAGTACAATCTACTGTCCCCTGAACATTCACATTTAGTGGGATTCTTCTAGATTCTTCAGTAGAGACTTCACACCAAAGGATTATGAGATTACTCCAAGATGTGCAATATGATGAAATTGCAGCCAAATGGACTAGTAGTTAAAGCAAACAAATACGGTATGCTCAGAAGTATTTGCCAGGCAAGCACTGGGTTCCTTTCGACTGCCATCCCCCCTCTGCCAGGATGTGGGGTCAGCCCCTCCTGGGAGGCAGAGGTCTTCTCTGGCCTCTGGTCTTCAGGCTCATCCTACTGCTGGGATGGCCACTCAGCCTCTGGGCCCCAGTCATCTTGCCTCTGTCCTCCGGGGCTTCTTGTTTTCAGTCTGACTATTCACACGGTGAAAGGGATATTTATCTATCCCCTGAAAAATGCTTTGTTAGTGTGGGAAAGGACTGGCTTCTGGCTTGTCTCAGGGGAGATGCTCGTCCTCAGAGGGAAAGGAAGGGACATGCCAGGGGCTCTGCTTCATGGGAAGCGGCTCCTGCTCTAGGAGACAGAGTGGGCCTCTGCCTGCGTGTCTCCCCTCACCATTTTAACCTCCCTCTTGCCCCTGCCCACTGTGGGAGGCATTCTTAAGGATTTGGCCCAGAATTCCTCTTTGAAGCCGTTTCACTTTTCTCACTCTCCTAAGTGAGCTTGTGTTCTTCTGGGATGCCCGGCTTGGGAGAGTGTGAGCACACACCTCCACAGACACACAACATTTTCTAGGTTCACGTGTTCCCCTGAAAACCCAGGGAAAGGCTCCTGGGAGTCTGAGTTTGATGCAAAGAAGCTGCTTTTGAAACGTGCTTATTCGATCTTACGGATTCCAATAGTATTGACCACCGAGACCATACGTGGGAGGAATTAGGTTTACTACCCTGTTTGTGACCTGTGGGCTACCTCAGAAGGGGCAGAGCCAGAGTTTGCCCCCAAAGAAAGCAGCCGATGGGCATGCTATTTATTCTGCGATTCTAGAAGTTCTCTGGGTTATGCGTTGAAGCAGATGCCAGAGACAAATCAGACAGAGTGTTTAAGGGTTAGTAACAGGGACATAGAAGAGGGGGGGTGTGGGAGAACCAAGTAAGGGAGACTGGACCACAACGAGCAGTTGTCAGAGTGACACAGCAGAGTCTGCCTGGTGGCACCTTCGGGGCTCAGCAGCCTCCTCCCAGGCCGGGCTGTGCCTGCTGCACAGGACCCCGCCGCTGCTGAGAACACTCTGGGAAGCCCTGCTTTATGAGTGGAATTCAAACACGTGGCACATGCTTTGTGTATATTTAATGATGGAAATCCACCACCTTTGATGGGGAATAAAATAATGAGGAGATGAGTCTACAGAATCAGGTGTGAAGTCAAACCAGCAGGAAATCAAGTCTGGTCACCCTGTGTCAGACCCAGCACACAGTGGGGTTGTCAGGTCGCCCTGTGTCAGGCCTAGCGTGCAGTGGAGTTGAAAGTTCACCAAGGAGAGTTTCTTGTGTGACTCGTGAATGGGTTCTAGACCCCTCATTCCCACCCAGAAGAGGAGAATGCTAAGTATTTGGATGCATGAGCATCAATGGGAATAACTTCCCAAAGCTCAGAACCTTTAAGGAAAGCTTCCATTTGGTTATGTAAGTTCTGTTCACTAGAGGGGAAAGGCACACTCATTATGTTGAAGCCATGTAGTGTGGAAATGGATGCTTTACTGCATTTTTTTCCTTCCTCTGTCCAATTTGGCATATTGTGCTCTGAAAAGACAGGCAGCTGGCAGGTGTCAGCGGTGGCCAAAGGCATTGGCATCCACAATTGACTGAACCTGAGTCTCCTCTTATCCCCCCACGACCCTGTGTGGACACCCTCCACCAGTGGGATGTGAACTTCGCTCTGACTTTTTACTGCCGGGAGCAGAGGGCTGCCTCCAGCCATTGACACGCTTCCTCTTGTAATCTTCCACTAGTGACAGATGCTTTTGAAACAGCTTGCCAGGGCCAAGGGGCTGCTCTGTGGAAAAATCCATCTGTGTGGACTGCCCCAGGAGCCCCTGAGCTCCAGGAGGATGAGGGTTTTTCTCACCAGAGCAGAGAAGCATCACTGGGCTGGTTTCCACGGCATTTCTGTTGACCGTGGCCGCCCCTCCACCCTCCTCTGTGTGGCCTGTGTGTGTGCATCTCTGCCCAGTCGGTTGTGAGAGATATGTCTGGAATCAAATCTGTCACATGGTACTGTCTCATTATTTTTTAAACAGTGCCTTGATGATAGTCTCCCTTTACATACTTAGCTTAAAAGATCAAGACCGACGTGCCCCAAGTCTCCTCCCGAGGTGAGACTTCCGGTCTTGCTTTCCTCTGGGGAAAGACCCTTGAAGGCCTCTTTCATTAATCCTTCCATTACCCCTTTCCAGCAATATCACAAGCTCTCAGGAGCATGCCCTGCTGCCCACAGCCACCTCCTCCTCCTCAGGTAAGAGCTGCACATTCCTCACCTCAAACCCAGCCTGCGTTTCTTGTGAATTGTCCACAGAAGAACTTGCCTGTCAGGGTGACCGTGTCTCCCCTTCACCCTCTGCCCCATGCTGTGCAGTGCCTACGATGACGTCTCTGGCCACCACAGAATCCTCCTTCCAAATTCCAGAAATCACTTTCTGTGAGATCCTGCCACGTCGGGAGATCTATTGCTGCCCTGTCTGGGGAACAAGAAGAGTCCTTTCCAGTCCTGTGTGAAGACAGTCCAAGGAAATGGAACCTCATCAGAGGTTATAGGCAAGTAAATGATGTTCAAAGAGAAACAAGTAGAGCTTTGAACCTGAAGTGTTTTTTTCCTTTGTCAATATTTACCTGAATCATCTCTCAATAGTTCCAGATAGTGATTCTACTCTTCTATTTAAGAAGGTGAGATCTTTAAAAACACAAATAAACAAACTTGCAATCATTTATAATAGTCGTCTAGTAACCTCATATAAATGGTGGTTCCATAAGATTATAATGGAGCTGAAAAATTCCTGTCACCTAGTGACCTCATAGTGTTGTAGGGCAACTCATTGCTCACTTGTCTGTGGTGAGGCTGGTGTGAACAAACCCGCTGCACCGCCAGTCATATAAAAGTATAGCCCAGAAAACTACGCACAGCACAAAATGCTTGATAATGCTTACATGACTATGTTACTGGTTTATGAATTTACTAGACTATACTTTTTTCATTATTTTAGAGTATACTCTTTCTACATATAAAAAAAGTTTTCTGTAAACCAACGTGCCATGTTACTTGGGGAGCAACCTCACTCATCTCGTATTTACCACCTCTCTTGATTGCTTCACCTTCTCTTATGCTGGGTTTAATCTCATGTTGGTTTGTAGCCTTGGAGCAGTAGGCCATGCCATGCAGCCCAGGTGTGGAGTAGGCTGTGCCATCTGGGTTTGTGCAAGTGCACTCTGTGATGTTCTCGTAACAGTGACATCACCTAACGGCACATTTCTCAGAACATATTCCCATTGTTAAGCCATGCATGAATGTATTGAACTCCCTGCCTGAAGATGAAGTTTTGATTGATTCAAGTGAAAGGGTCTCATTTGTCTGCTGCCAACAAAGATAGCAATAGTTGCACAACTGAAGTAATCATGTGTGGATGGGTGGATTTTTTTTTCTGGCTCACTTAGAACTTAAAAAATGATGTAGCATCTGGGCTCTCTGCCCAAACCCAACAGGGTAAATGCAAAAGGCTTTAGAAATTATAATGAGTGCAGGGTAAGCTTTAAATCAATGGAAAACACAAGATTGGCATTCCATTTTCTGAATGGAAATTCTTCTTCCTCCTAGACACGCATGCACAGACACATGCATGCACACACGCAAAGATGCTTTTTTAAAAAAAATTATTTATTTACTTTCAGAGAGGGGAGGAGGGAGGGAGACAGAGAGAGAGAGAAACATCAATGTGCCAGAGATGCATTGATTAGTTGCCTCTCGCATGTCCCCAACCAGGGACCTGGCTCACATCCCAGGCATGTGCCCTGACTGGGAATCAAACCAGCGACCCTTTGGTTCTCAGGCCAGCACTCAATCCACTGAGCCATACCAGCCAGGGCAGAGATGCTTTTTAAGTAACAGAATTTTATGTTAAAGAAAACATGGAAACTTGAACAAGGGCTAAAGGTGTAATTATCTCAGTAGGATCAAATACAATATATCCAAATGTATGCTAATTTACTACTGCTTTTAGAAATCTAAACACACATGTTAAGTGTCTAAAATACTAATAATGGTGATGCAAATAATAGCAATAAGTAGTGTTGGTATAGCTTGTTAGGATGCTATGCTAACAACAAGTGACCTTGGTCATGTCTAATTTCAAAGCAGTTGGGGGAATGCAGGTGGCACGTGCATCCGGGAGAAGAGGAACTGAAAGACTTTTGAGCAGCCCTAGTGACTGACACGTAGAATATGGTCAGCGGTAGAAGTTTTGGGGTGACAATGTACTTTCTTTTTCTTTTTGATATTATTTCTTATCCTAGCCTTGAGTAAGTAACTTTTACAAATCACCATCATCTTCACGTAATGAAATGTTTACTGTGTGCAAGGCGCTGTCTTAAGTGGTCAACATAAATAAGTCCTCTAATCTTTACAAGCCTAAAAGACAGGCAGTTATTATCCCGTTTTTCTAACGAGGAAGCCGCTGCACAGAGAGTTTTCCCCACACTTCCAGGAGGCCATGTTCTCACGAAAGCGGTTTCTGATTGAACCGGGAAACACGCATCACTACAGGGTGAGGATAAAGGTTCCATTTGAAGAGAGGAATTTGTTTCAGTCATCATGTTCTCAACGGCTTTACACACCCAAAGCTGCCATCCCTGGTGAAAGCACATGAAACCTTGTGGCTGCTGAATCCTTTTCTTACCTTAGGAGTCCACCTTGGGGACACTTGGTGTCCTGTGCCTAGAGTGACCCTCAGAAGAGACTGTCTTACCTATGAGAGAAATATTGGTCACAGCAGACTCTCTCTAGAAAGAGGTCATGGACGATCCATTTGTTATTTCCGAAGTTCCTTGACCTTTGAGCAAATTCACTGCTGTAGCCGCCAGCTCTTCATCGGCAGGTTCGTCGCTCTCTTGGCCGGGACAGTGAGTGCTCATCTTACCTCTCCTTCACGTGGGAGACCCTGAAGAGGCTCCTGAAGAAAGCAGAGCTGCTCTGATGGCTGGCTGTGTGGTCTTAGACAGGACTGTCAGCTTCTCGGCTGAAAGTGAAAGTTAAGCTCTGCTTTATCCGGCTCCCTGATTCACTGGAAAAGTTGTTCCCTCTTCCCTCATTCAAGTGGGGAAAAATGGAAAGAACATAAATGTTCTGTTTACTTTCACCTCCAGGAAACCTGAAAGCTTTGGGGGATGGGCAGTCACAGATTGTCAGAGCAGCTGTACCAGTGGCACTCTGACCCCCAAGAATGCGTTATTAATTCATTATACTTTTACAATGATTTGGCTGAGAACATATGTCGAGGGAGAAGGTAAGTAGAAACTCAGTTAAGCTTTTAATTAGTTGTTGTTGTTAATCCAATGGCGACATTTGCAAACATCGCCAGTCTATGGCAGGGGTGTCACTTTTCCAGAGCACAGACACATGCACTTTGTGAAATCCCTTGAAATTCTGAAGTCCTCAGGTCAGGAGAGCCTGTCACTCACACCAGCCTACTCTTTTTACAGCCGAAGACACGGAGGCCCAGGACCTTGCTTGAGGCCCTGCAGTTAGTTACTCTCCTAGCGGGAACTGGAATGGGTCCCCCACGTTGGGCTCCTTCCCATTCCGCCACCGTTTCCCCAGGCACAGTGTGTGCATATGGCTGGGGTCAACTCTGGGAGAGGCAGAAAGTGTTCCCTCTGTGGCTTTCAAAAGCCCTTTCAGCAACCACCCCCCAAGTTTGCCTCTAGCCATTGAGATGTGTGTGGTGTGTGACAATGCTGGCCTGAGGAAAGGCACTTCTCTTCTGCTGCAGTTTTCCCTCTGTTGGGAACCAGAGCTCACTGGGGGTCCTAAAGCCAAAAGAGGAAAAAGCCAGGCAAACATTGTTTTCAACCAGTCATTTCTGAAACATTGAAGACCAATTAGAAATTAAGGAATAAAAATAAAAAACAAATTCCAGGGCTGAAAAAAAAAAGCTTGCAAAAACTCTCAGTGGGATGAAGGTCACTACATAACCATTTACCAAGCTCTCAGAACATGTTCATGAGCCTCCTTCCTGAGGGGTAAAACTGCTAGTAAAAGAAGTGAAGAAAAATCAGCATTTTTATGATGTGCTGAACTCAGGACACGAGTCTTCCTCTGGGCCTAAGTTGATTGTGTGTCTATGTCTTTCAGAAAGGTTACCCCTCATCTCCCCATTTAACAAAAGGTCTGGGTAAGTCTACTCCGGAAGAGGAAAGTGGGTGTTTTGAACTTCTACTCTGAGGAACCAACTGGACTAGATTTTATTCTATGGAACCAACTAAGATTTAAATAAAGAGAGTTACATGTTAAGTAAAGGGCCTGCGTGTGTAGGGTGGGGTGGGGGGGGCGGAATCTAGGAAGTGTTACCGATTTATAGAAATTTGGTGAAGATTTTTAAAAAATCTCACAAAGCAAAAAGGCATCTGGAATTCATGTTTATTTTGTTTTGGAGACCAGAATTCTAAGAAGAGCAAATGGTCAAAAGAAAATGGTTCCCTGTGTTAAAGGACTCGGTCATCAAGCGGTTGGGCTTATTGGCTTTTTTCTTGGCCTGAGTCTGGTTCAGTCAGGAAAGAAGGAGGCACCGAGGGGCTGTGCTGGGCTCAGCCAGCAGCGCGGTTCTACCGCAACAAGGCATCCTTCAGGTGGATGCCACCTTCCATCTCCTCTCCGGGAGCTTCTAATTTAGCTTACGGAGAGATCTTATCCACTGATTTTGAAATATACCTTCAACTGAGCAATGAAAACCACAGGGAATGTATATTAGGGTTATAGTGAATATTGCTGGAAGGCATGTATAAAGTGGGAGCCATTCATGAATGACAACAGGAGCATTTATGGTTTTTTAATAACCAGCCTTTCAGAATTGAATAGTGGGTTGTGTGTTTTTTTTGCGTCAGAGAAGTGACAAATTGGAGGTGTTTTATAGGAGATTTAAAATTTGGTATTTACAATCCTGCTTTTCAAAAGCTATTTTTGTCATTCTAAATCTGCAAAATGATCTCTCCTCAACTTTGCATTTTTTTTACTGTTAAAAAAAACTGTTACCAGATACTAAATCCTATCATTGGGTTCTAGTCTTCAGGAACCTAAGAACTCCGTGCTGTGGAAGTGAGGCAGCTCTGTAGTTCTATTTATAGAACTTACAATAAGTCCCTTTCCTGCAAATTCCACAAGAAAGTAGAACAAAAGAGAGGGGAAGAAAACAGAGGGATGGAGAGGTTCTGGTTTCCCCTTCTCTTTCTGCCTCATTTGCCTTGTAAATTCACAGCCTTCTGTGGAAGCAATCACAAGAAAACTCAGAGCAGGAGACATGTGCTTGAAAATTATTATTGGAATAGCTGGAATCCAAGCAATCTGGAGGCATTTTTAGATAGCACATACATTTATATTTAAAGGGAAATAAATATTCAATTTTCTAGAAAATCTTCCTGTATCAAGATCATTCCTTCTTCATGGAAAGCATCGTGCTGGAGAGGATGCTCGGGAAACTTGCCTTGCCTTTGAGTTCTGTCTCACTGCCATTCGCTGACAGGGTGAAGGAGCTCAGCTCCCCATGCCCATCGCCAGCATCCCTCTACACCCATTTCTGGGAATTCCCCTTTAAGTGTGCAAGAGGAAACATTTTTCTAGAGGGTATTTGACTGGTCTTTCCCTTGTCTCCCTTCCACATTCCCACAAATATTTATTAGCACCCCCAGCTGAGCCTAGCCTTGTGTAAGGATACAACAGTGAAGAAGATCAGTCTTCCAGAAGCTCACAGTCAGGTGAGCAGACAAGTACCACCCCCCTGGAGTGGGAGGTACTAGGCAGGACAGAGAGACTTAGGAGTGACGGCCCCAACTAATGTCCACTGTCGCTTTGGCTTCTTCCTATCCTGAAATTCCATACAGAAACTTGTTTTAGATTGTGCCCTTTTTTTCTTCCCATGAGAGAAAGCAGCATACATGGTATTAACTTATATCTCTTGTTAAAGGAGGTTAATGTCTTTGTATTTTCTCCAGAGTTATATTGAAAAATATAAAATTGTATTGTTTAATGTGAATGAAGAAATGCAATAAGGGGTACAAATACTTGAAAAAACCTGCAAATGAAAAAAATGCTGCAAAAATTTTTAAATTTTTTTATTAGATTTGTTTAGCAACCCACTAAATGATTGCTTTCACTATCCACTTTAAAAAGATACATATTTTTTCCCATAGCCTTAATAACAATCATCTGAATGGTAACCTTTTCAAAACTGCATTTAAAATGCCTTTTTGTCTATGATGGATCACACCCTCTTCCCCAGCTTCCTTTTCCACAGGCAAGCTCCTGTTCCACACCACTGATCTGACTCCTCTCTTCAGTCCTTGCCTTCAGCTCGATTTATTCCTGTGTGGATCGTGTTATGCAAGAGCTACAGAGGATTCAGAAACTGTTAGTAGAGGTTTCCTCTCGTGGGGTTGTCGAGAATAGAGATGACATGCCCTGTGCATAGTGATAGATATACCACCCATGGATCACCGCATAGGAGATTCAATAACAAATGCTGTGGCATTAGAAATGAGGGAGGTGTGAGCTTCATTGAATCTCACCCGGGATGGTGTCTCAGTCTGTTGGGACTGTCATAACTAAATATGGTACCCTGGTGACTTAAACAGCAGAAATATAGTTTCTCACAGTTCTGCAGGCTCACTGTCCAAGATCAAGGTGTTGGCAGGTCTGGCTTTTTCTGGGGCCTCTCCCCTTGGCTCACAGGGGGTCGCTTCTCCTTGTGTCCTTACAGTGTCTCTCCTTCACACATGCACCCTCTTTGTCTGAATCTCCTCTTCTCATGTGAATAGTAGTCAGATTGGGTTGAGGCTCACCCTAACAGCCTCATCTTGACATGATCACATCTTTAAAGGATCTACCTACATGTACAGACACATTCTGAGTACAAGGGGTCAGGATTTCATACAAGAGAATTGGGGGGTCACAATGTAGCTCAAAGCAGACAACTTCTCGGAGAAGGTGAGAATCCTCTGTAAGCAATGTGGCAGGGATAGGATGGGCTGAAAGGGGGGTGAGAGAAGGGTGGGTGTACCATCCATGGACAGAGACAAACTAGAGCTCACGCCAGGGTTCTTCTCATCCTGAGTAAGCTTTCAAGACTGACAGACCTGTTTCCTCCGCAGCAGACAGACGCACGCCATTCTTGGCAGGAGATGAGCTAACCAGCCCTGATGGGGGAGTGACCGTAAGTTTTAGAGACTCTATTCTTTGACCTGGGGAGCCAGGCAGGGCAACTACAAGCTGTAGTCACTGGGGTGAGGGATGGGGAGAGACACCCATGGGTTCCACTTTCACACTTGAAGCCAGCCTGACCGTGAGGGGCGCATTAGAAACGCCACTCATTACCAGACAAGCAGTGGTCGAGCTCCATGGATGTTGACCATTTATTTGAACTTCCTGCCCTGTTCTTCTATTCTTCTGACTATATTTTTAGTCTGTTTTCTCATTTATAAAAGCATTTTCAATAAATTTCAATTTAATAGGACTTCCAGAGTCCAAAAATTCTTTTGGATACTATGAGGCTGTCTGTTGGAACCTGGGATTTTTTTTTTTTAGTTTTCTTGAAGTTGACTATAACAACAAAAATGCCTTCTTCCTGCCCTTCTCCTCCTTCTTTTTCCATTTGAATGCAAATGAAATTAATTTATCTAGGAAACTTATTTGCATTCTGAAAGCCGGACTCTGCTAGAGCTCACAACTCTTTTCCTCTGCAGAAGAGTTGACTCTTTTCTGTATATCTTCCCAATCCATGGGTCAATACAACTATCAGTTCTATTCAGATTCTGGAAATCCAGCAAATAATAGATGGTCGGTATTGCAGTTGAAGGCTCCATTGCGGGTGGGTAAGCCTCCCCTTTACACCCCACTTTTTCCTGGAATTTACTCAGGGAGCTGGGTTTTTGAGACTGCAATGAAAGCTAAACCTTTACACGATAAAATCAGTGTGTGTTTTCACTGAGCCTTAAGTGAAAGCACACTTGTTACGTTGTTACAGGGTGGAAGAGAGAATCATAAGCACAGTTGGTGTTACCAGTGGTCAATTAACCACTGCTCCAGTGTTCCCTGTCTCCTGGTTCAATGGGTTCACCAAAGCACAAAGTGTAGGGGAAGCTCTGTGGCTGACTTTCTGAAGGAATGAACCTGAGGTGCAGAACTGCTAGTTCATTTTATAGACAAGAAAGACTTTGTCACTAATGGCTTCAAGTTATGAGTGAGCTGACGTTTGTATATTTAAATAGCAAGGGATGTCATTATTTTAATTGCTGAAAAATGTAGCTTATCTTAGCTTTTTCAGGTAGGAGGGAAAAAAATCCATATACTGGAAAAGTTATCAGCAGCAGCCATCTCTAGTGTGTGCGTATCACCTGTGTAGAGGTAATTAATGATGGGCCTAGAGCATAGAGTACAAATGGCCTCAGCAAGCACCCTGTGCAAGAGTAGGCATTAAGAATGGGAGGGTTTTTCCTTTCTTTGATAAATATTTACCAAATGCCTGCTAAGTTAAAGACAAGGCCCTATGTTTTGAAACTAGTGTCACGAATCCTATGGATTCTGAGCCTTATTTCTTTTCAACCTGATATAACTTAGGCTTCCAGTTGATGGTCCCGAGTCTTAAAAATAAACGGCATGGTGCTTTTTGATGTGTTTATGACCTCTATATTTATTACCTCATCGAGTTCTCGCACAATCCCTGTAGGATGGTATTATTTATCCCCATTTTGTCGTTAAGGAGCCTGAGGTTCAGGAAACTTGGAAAAGCTAGGGGCAGACATTAATTAATGCAGTAGAGTGACATAATGAAGAAAAGTAAGGTGACTCAGGTTTAAATTCCAGAACTTTGACAAGAGGTTTATTCTCCCTGCATATCCTTTCTCATCGACTGAGTGGGCTGCCATGAAGTGTGCAGAGGTCGGAGGCATGGGGTCGGAAGTGAATTCCATTTACCTAAGTGAGCTTCCTCCCCTGGAGCACAGCTCTCCTGACCCCGCTGCAGGTCTCTGTCCTTTACTTCTGCGTTCTCATTTTTAGCAACTTACTGTTAGTATTCATTAAGGAGAGTCTAAAATGACTGGCTATTGTGCACACTTACCTGGTTTTAAGTTGTTTCTGCATAGAATTTGAAATTTGACCGGCTCGTTAGAACTTAGATATGATAAGCCTTTTTGCTAGAGTTTTCACTTCAGTAGCAACTCCCGCTTTTCCCCAAGTTTCTCTCTTTAAAGAGGTGGAGGAAGGAATCTCTGTATAAGCATTTCTGTCTCGCAATTATCTCCACTAGTAAGTGGTAATTAGGACTATAGTAGTTTTAGTTGGTTCAAGTTCTGAAAGTGCAAAGTATTTCCTGCTAATGTTTCCTAAAAGGGAGAGGTTGACAGTAGAGAAGCGGGCATTTGCCATTTCCAACGCTCTTCTCCAGAGGAACTGTTAGTTCAAGACCTTGCCCCATTTGTCTTCGGAAGTCTGTATTTCCTTGGGGGAACTGAAGTTATTTCCTTTGTGTTTAGTTTTGTCCACTTGGCACTGTGTCTGTGTGTTCGGACAAACTGTAAACCGATGTGGTATATATATTTCATATATTAAGGCCTGAGAGAAATCACTTTGCAATTTGACAGGTGTGTCTCTGAAAAACATAAAACTACACCGTGTTAAATTTGGTTTTATGTATTTATTATAGAATATTTTCCTCTACATAGTATATAATAAATAGCAAAAAGCCTTTTGAAACATTTCCTGCATATTTTGATCTGCGGTTTTATTTTGTTTATAATTAGGTCTGGAAATTACAATCACGATATTCCTGTTAATAAGCACGCATCCAACGTCAAATTCTCTCTGGAAATCATGTAAGCGCATCGCTGTAAAAAACAATTCCATTTTTATTAGGGTTTGAGTAGCCAGTCTGAATTTATTTTACCCTTTGATCAAAAAGTCGGGAGGTGGAAAATTATCAGTTGCTGTCGCCCAGCAACGGTTGGGATTAGAGGCGGAGCGACTGGGGACGGGGTTTGCAAAATGAAGGCCGGAGCTTCCAGGCTGCCTCCCTCCAGTGGGCTGGAAAGGCCCTAGGCTGTGTCCTCACACCTGCAAAGGGAAGTGACTTTGGGTTTGGTGCTTGCTCACAAGCTGCACACTGCCCCTGGCTGTGTCCCTTTGAACAGGGGCGAGAGCGAGAGCAAGAGCACGGCCCCTGGGAGGGGGCGCCGCACAGTCGGGAGCTCGAGCCAGCAGTGCTGATGCACGCATCACCTCCTTTCCCCCGCCGCCCCGGGGAGTGAGAGAACGGAGTCAGAGTTGGGTACCGGGCAGACCAGGGTTCAGATTTGTCTCTGTCACTCACTAGTTCTGTAAACCTTGGGGAAACCACTTATCCTCTCTGAACTACCATTCATTCATCTCTAAAACGAGTTTGACGTTACACCGTAACAAGTAGTGCAGCTGTGGGTGTCACTGTTAATAATAGTGAGATTAATAACTATCGTTTGCCAAGCAGAGACTGTCAGCCAGACACTGTATACTTTAGTTCTGGGTCATCTGATCCTCACAATAACCCTCCAAGGTTGGTATTGCTTTTTCTAGTTTATATTTTTCAGATGGGAACACAGGTCTTGAGAGGTCAAAACATCCATCATGAAACTCAGAGCTTGTAGGAGCTGGAGCTGGCCTCCCAGCTCAGCCCCCTTTTCCTGCCTTCCCAATGAGATAAGACATGTGAGAACATTGCCCCTCCCTGACACACAGCGGGCACTCAAATGGGAACTCTTCTTATGACTCCCTTTCCTCCAAAATCACAAAACCGTGCTTATCAGTTTTAATTAATTATGAAACTTTAAGACTTTTGAGCCACTTCACTCAAAAAGTATGCAAGGAGCTACTTCCTACTGTGAAGATAGATGGTTTCCATTTTGTGTCTCTTGAGTTTAGTTTCTCCTTTCCTGCTCCCTCCACATTCCCTCCTTTCTCCCCTTCCTTTCCTCTCTCTTTCCCTTTCCTCTGCCCTCCCCTCTCTTCTCCTGCTCCCCCAGCTCTGGTGCTCCTTCTCCTTCATTCCCTCCACTCTGTCTCTTCCTCTGTTTCGCTCAGGCTTCAGACGCCTCTCTCATCCTCTCATCGGCTCTGCTTCTACAATGAGCTAATGACTCTCCCCCTCCCCCAACCGGCTTGCCTTGGAAAGGTTTGTTTCCAGCAGCTAATATTTCATGACTCAGAACCCACCATAATTCAGGGCAGAGCAAAGGCTAAATGTACCATTCTTATGAACTAAATGTACTACTATTCTCTAGCACTCCCTGAGTAACCTGAAACAGCATTTCCTCATTCACACCTAGCTTCAGGGGAGGGAAATGAGCTTAAATGGTAAATCTCCTGAAGTGGCAGAAGATTCATCTTGAACCACTAATGTGGCCATTTTTCCAAAATGGGTGATTTTAAAACAATGCAGAGGCTCAAATGAGAGTATGGGTTGTCTGTCCCACTTGTGCAGAAAGATTCTTTCCAAACACAGATGAGTCTCAACTTCTCGGCGATGACTAATGGGCCAACCTCCGGAGAAAATGACTTTCCTGCAGGCCTTCCGTCTGATGGCTCTAAAGCCTGGTCACTTCCGATGGGTCTCACCCCCTTGTCCCTCCCTGTGTTTGTTAGCCTTGCTGCTTCAAACCAAATCTGCCCTGCGCAGGATTTTGCAGAGTCTGAAGTCCTGGAAACTTCAGACAGATGCATATTTAGCTGCAGTGGAAAGGGAAGGACTACAGCCCCAAATTATTATACAATCTATGGAGAGAAGTTATGACATTGAGGTAATTTAAATCATGGGGTTAGGTTTTAGAGACTGTCATATGGTACTTCAGTAGTTTGGCTGCGATGACACAAGTAGCATGGACTGGGTGGCTTAGACAACAAACAACTATTTTTTGGCGCTCTGGAGGTTGGGCAGTCCCTCATCAAGGCACCGGCAGATTTGGTGTCCAGTGAGGGGCTGTGTCCTGGTTCATGAATGGTCGTCTCGCTGTGTCTCCACCTGGCAGAGGGGTGAGAGTGCTCTGGGGTCCGTTTCACAAGGGCATGAGTTTCACTAGGGAAGGCTCCAACCTATCCCACTGGAGGTTAGGATTTCAATCTATGAATTTGGGAGAGCACGAACATTCCGTCCACAGCAGGAGTCAGCTGAGATTGAGTTTCTTTCTGTGATAATGAGATGTGAGCTAGCATACTGGCCTCAGTGAGCTTCGTGTAATAAAATGCGTATTGGGAACCTTGAATGGATTTCCAAGATATTATGTTCCCTCTTATTAAAGTGTAGCCTGGTAGGAGGTAGCAGCTACTTTTCCACTTACCCTTTCTTTCCTTTGTCTTTTTGAAGCACAGCAGAGCCATTGATAGTCTTCCAGTGCAGATTCACCCTTGGAAATATATGTTTCCGGAGGAAAAGGGAAGCCAAAGGGGTGTGGAACTACGGAGAAGTCTCCCAGGAGACAACACAGGTAATATTTTCTGGCTCCTCGCCATCACACCCCTGTTCCAGGAAACATGTGTGTAGAATTGTGGTGCAGCCTCTACCCACTACGAAGAGAGAGTTGCCGCAAGCCACATGCCAGGGTTTCCCCTGATGGCTGACTCTGGCCCCCAGCTGTTGCTCAGCGTCTTCCGTGCATCTTTCAGAAGCTGCAGACTGTTCTAGCTATCCTTATCAAAAGCTGATGTCACAGATACCTCTCCTACAGTAGTCAAAGAAATGCTTTCTCAGCCTGCAGGTTTCCAGAGCAGTGTGAAACCTGGCTGTGAAATGGATCTCCCTTTCATTCATTATTTAGGGAGATCAGCACATTTGGAGCCTCCCTGCAGCCTGGTTCTTCGAGAGCGCATACCATTTCCGTGTAGCGGCACCTGGTAAGCTTTATTTTTTTTTTTTTGACTTTTCAGTGAGGAAAGTAAATAAATAAATACACTTTAACTACAGTCAATTCTCACATTAATAATTCTCTGTTTTCTCCTGTTCTGACAGGATTTATCTGACTGTTCAATGGACCCTTATTTTGCTGGGATCTTCTTTACAGGTTACTTCTTTTATTTCTGTCGACACTGTGCCTAATTTGTTCAAGGCTGGTTGGGGACTTTGCCAAGAAAAAATACTCAGAAATACAGCTAACAGAACCTCATATCTGTATAACCAACTTCTTTCTTCTTTTTGTAAAACACTTACATTTCTGACCAAAGGACTTATCAGCCTTTGGCTTCTGACAGTTTTGAGACATCAATGAAGAGAATAAAGTGTTTGCTGAAACTTGGGATAATGTGGGCTTGACTTTGCCATGACCATGAAGAAGACATTTCCTGGACGTATCAGCATGCTTGGGTTGGGAAATACTGCTTCTGGTATTAAGGAAGCTGTGAGGTCAAAATAGGCAAGTCCAGCTTTACTTTGTCTTCATAGATTTCAGAGCTTTGGAGAAAACAAGAAGGCCCATTCAGCTGTCTGCACTTAGGTCCACTAAACATAGATCTGAGAACCTGCAATACGGTGTGTGTTGGCGGGAGGGGTGTGTGGTGTCTGATGCTGCACTCACATTGCGGTAAACTAGTGCTGTGTGTGTTTGTATGTGTGTGTGTGTGCGTGTGTACTACACAGGCCACACTACAGAAGATACGTGGCTAATGAAATGGATTTAAGAGAAATAGTTGCAACTCTACTTTGTAATATTTGATGGACACTAAAGTTTTGGGCACTGGGATTTGCACTCTTGCAAAGAGAGAAGCTGTAGCTTGTGACAAGTCTTTATAGGCTCTCCAAGCAATCTAGGCCTGGACAGTTGCACTTGATTTTCCAGGGGTCATTGACTTTTTTCTTTTCCTTTTTTTTGTTTTTGTTTTTGTTTTTCCTCTGCACATGAGGGGTTCTGTGACAGGGGTTAAGGCCCATCCCAGTTCTTCATAGCTGCATTAGCTTTGGATATGTCTACTTGGCTTATGGTAGATTTATATGCCTTTCCCAAACTAGAATGGACAGAAATCCTCTAGCTGGAATGTGTTCACTATGTCTTCTATTTTCTGTATTCTGATATTTTGACATCTTAAGGTCTTGCTGACCCTGGAGGGCCTACATGCCCCAGGGTCAGCCAGTTCCTAGAGACAGTGGTAAACAACTTGACCACCAGTGCTTTTCAAATATAACCCAGCCAATCCAGAGCCCACACACCAACCACCTCTTTGTCAGGTTATCACAGTCCACCTGCCCTAATTGCCCCAGGGCCACACACCCAGCAACCAGGCACAGCCCCTATATCCCAGAGCCTTGTGAAATTATTCAGACGAGCCAGTCTTAGGCCTATTTCTCCTGCTCCCCCATTCCTCCCTGTGAAAACCACAATAAAGGCTCTTGCCCTTAGTTCTTCCCTTTTCCTCTGCGTCCTGACCAACCATGGTACTTCCCAGTGTGGCCCCGGAGGGATGGCATGTCTCCTACCCTTGGGAACCAGGAGTAACAAATTATCTTTTCAATGCTGATCACCTCCTGATCTGTTGGCATTCCTATACTTCAAATTTCTATTAACATGGAGAATCAAGCCACTCTCTGTCGGGTTCCAGGTAACAGGACTGCTGAATGGTTGGCCTTCCTTATCCTATTGTTGGCCTTCAAGTCAATTGGGATAAGACAATTTGATTTTTTTTACCTTGACAGTAGTAATCAGTAGTAATAATGTATCACCCTCTTCCTTACTTTCAAATATTATTAAGTATGTACCATGTAGATGGAAAGTAATTGTGAGGCCCCAACTGTTAAGAAAAGAAAAGCAGTGATCCCTACTCTCACAGATGGCGTTTTGAAAAAGATTATTGACATAAAGGTAGTTTAACTCAGTAGGAGCTGAGACTTTGAAGCCAAAAAGTTCTTGCCTTGAATTCAAATTCTGACTTTATCTGTGCATTCCTAGGCAAGTTACTCAACCTCTCTAAGCCTCAATTTCCTGCTGTATAGAAGAGGACAGTGAGTATCTACAGCAGATAAGAATAAATGGGATAGAATATACAAAACACAGGCTCCAGGTAAATATGAGCTATTATTGTTATACCTGCACAAAACAGAATAATTATAAAGATTGTGGTGGGATTATAAAGGAATTAAATAACTAAATGCTCATAGACATTAAAGCATTTTTGTCAACTGTAAAAAAACACAGACAGAACATATGATGTGTACAATATTACATAACATTTATATATTTTTTTTCTATCTTTGGAAAATTGTTTTCCCTTTTACTAACCAGTGTAGTATTTGTGGAAAAAAAATAAGGTAGTTAATTCTTCAGAGGAGCATTTCAGTATTCCTCTAGTTTCTTAGACTGAAATTCAAACTTGGTTCTCCTGAGTGGCAGGACCAGCCTGTCCAGAATGACCGAACTCTAGATGCTCTAGCTGTCACTCCATTTTTTAACAACATCCCAGGTGCTCGGTGTGGAGAGACTCCATTAACTTGACTCTTCTCTTGGTAGAGGAATCCTTGTCAGCAGCAGAGTTACAGGAGTTCTCTTCAGCACGTAAATCCCATGTACTTACTCATGCACTTATGTTCAGGATAGTTGGAAGGTTTCAGATACCTAATGTAGTTTGGTAATGTTGCTTATAAAGGGAGTCCTGTAAAATGTATACTGTTTTCCTATTAAATTCCATTAAAAAACTGGAAGTCTTTTCCCCACAGAAAACTTAGTACAGAAGGTTGTGTTGAAAGTCTTCAGAGAGAGAGGACTGAAGACAGCGGGCAGACCTGTGGCAATCTGCGGCTCCCTGGGATTAATTAAGCCCATGAGGAGAAGAACAGACTCTGCTGGAAGACTCTCTTGTATTTGTAGCACTTTCCTAATGGTGAGCTGTCCACTGTGGACCATGCTGCTTCAGGCCAAAATATTTTTCCCTATGTCAGAGAATTATCTAACTCTCCACTAGAATATCCCCAAATTCAAGTAATTAAAATGTCTAGATGAGTCTTCCTCCCAACATCCCATAACCCCAGTCTAATCATGAGAAAAAATTCAGACAAATGCCAACTGAGGGACATTCTACAAAACACCAGGTCAGTACTTCTCGCAATGGTCAAGGTCATCAAAAGCAAGGAAAGTCTGAGTAACAGCCACAGCCAAGAGAAGCTTCCAGAAACATGATGACTAAACGTGATGTGAGATCCTGGAACTGAAAAAGAAAATTTGGTAAGAACTAAAGAAATGTGAATAAAATATGGACGTTAGTTAGTGGTAAGCTATGAATATTGGCTTATTTATTGTGGCAGACCTACCTCACTAGTTTTAAGATGTGGGAAACAGGGGAACTAGGTCTGGGCGCTATTGAAACTCTGTGTACTAGCTTCAATTTTTTTTATACATCTAAACCTTCTCCAAAAGAAAACACTATTTAAAAAAGTCAGAAGAAGGTGTCCATAAGAACTGGGCTAAAGGATCGCATGCTACCACCAGGGGCTATTTGTGATGATACAAGGTAAGTTGAAGCCTGAGAAATACGCATTTTTCACCTCAGACCAAAGTATTTTAGTGCCCTACTTTCCTAATTACTTGTCCGGTTCTGTATATCAATTTTATTAGCTACCAAATATCATAGAGAATATTATAGAATATATAATAGAAATAAATACAGACTATAAAATAACCACATAATACAAATCAGTAGAATTACAATAATTTTTCATGGGTTCTAACAAGAATTCAAACAAAATTGTGAAAACTGTCAGATTTTTTTAAACAAACCATTAAAATTCACTTAAAACAATTAGTGTGTATGCATGTGTTAAACCCTATGGCATTTTCAAACAAAACCATTTTGTAGTACTCTTAACCTATTTCTTTTTCATTTTTTTTCTAGACAATTTTTGGATTTCACTTTAGTGGCAGATTCCAAACACCACATTATTTGAATCATGAAACTGAAGATCTTCAAGGAACAAGCTAGATAGCAATTCTTTTGGCAGTTTGCAAAGCACTTTCATAACCCTCCTCTCCCTGGATTCTCACAACAGCCTCGTGGTATTGGGAGTGAGGGGAGGTTAAGCAAGGAAAAGAGGTGAGCCAGGGTTTCTGGTGCTAAATTTCATCCCTTTCTAGTGTATTACATATCTCATTTCATGCAGACTGCCATAACAAAATTTAAGACTTGATGACTTATATAACAGGGATTTCTTTCTCACAGTTCTGGAGACTGGAAGTCCAAGATCAAGGTGTCTGCAGACTCAGTGTCTGGTGAGGGCTGTGTCCTTGAGTTTCACACAGAAGCCTTCTCGCTCTATCCTTCCGGCAGTGAGGGCAGGTGGAGAGAGTGTGGGCGTGGGGGTGGAATCAAGTTCTTCGGTGTCTCTTCTCACAAGGGCACTAATCGCATCAGAGGGTCCCCTCCCTGGTGGCCCCACCTAAACCTAATTACCCACCTAAGGCCCCTATTTCCAAATACACTGGGACTACGGCTTCCACATACAAATCTGAGGGAAAGACAATTCAGTCCATAGCATTACACCCTTTACCCTTCGGAAATTTTTTCTTTTCTTCACAAATCTTGGCAGTTTTCAAGGATCATCAACTCAGCTATTGATCCACCCAAAAGGCACAGACGTGTTAGCGGCTCTGGTGAATGATACACTTACCAGGCCTTCCAAACCAATGTGATTTATTAGAGGCCATTTAGTTATAATACAGAGTGGAGAGAAGGATCAAGATGAATGGGATCTCTGGTCACCACCACTAAGTTGCATGTATTTATATTGCACCAGAGCTTAAGAGTTCACTTAAGAATGTTAAATATCAACCACGCTCTGAGGAACTCTTCAGCAAAATCTTCACTTGGCAGAGCTAACCGTGTTTTGGCTTTTATTCTTCAAGGACATGTGTCATTGATTTTTGTGTCTGTTGCTAAAGAGCCAATCAAGGTTTTAAGAAGCATCCAAGGATTCAAATCTAGTGCATTTTTTGATGAGCAGTTGTTTAAAGCTTGTAGAAGCACAGCTTTGGAGACCTTCAATTTACCAACAGAGTTTGGCACACATACATCTCCATCTTTTCCTGTCTGTCTTCTGTGAATGGGAAAGCTTGGTTAGTT